AGGTTGAGGATGCCACTGGGGCAGTCCTTCAGGAAGCCCTTGTACCACTGCTTCAGCTCCTGCTCGCTGAACTCGGTGTTCTGAACCAGGTCCTCCAGCACCTCCGGGGCCAGCTTGCTGTTGGTCTTCCCCATGGCGGGGCCTGGGGGACAGGCGCAAGCAGCGGTCCTCCAAGTCCCGGTAAAACAGGGTTCCCTTTCTCTACAACAGCTCCCTCCCATAACAAACCCACATTCCCACAGCCAGGATCCCTCCCTCCACAGCTGGTCGGGTATCCCTCCTCTCACCACCACCCTCAACAAGCCCCATCTTCCTACAGCTGGGCTCTCCCCTTCACCACATCCCTTCCCATAGGAGCTCCTACCGCCCCTCTCCGCCCCTCTCCACCCCTCCCCCCAAAAACTGGGTGCAGGTTTCCAGGATTTCTAGCCTTTCAGGTCTCCGCTCCCCTCCTTTTCACTGACAGGGGCTGCATCGCCACAATCTTCATCCTCTCTTCCCCCGTTTACACCTTCCATAGCTCCCCACACTCATAGAACAGAGTCTTAATTCTCTCCTTGCTATTCAGAGCTTTCACACTCAGCCCTACCTGCCTCCACAGGCTCCTCTCCTACCAGGGACCCGAGGCGGGTTCCTCCTGTGTCCCCCTGGTACCACCTCCCAACTTCTTCAAGGCCTTCCAGCCATCCCAGCGGGAAGCTTCTCTCCCTCTTCTGTACAAATAGAAGCCCTAGCTAGTAGCACTGATGACCCTGATTAGATTCTGCTTTCCGTTAGTTCATTCATTCCCTGAGCATTTATTGAGGCTGACTGTGTGCTAGGCCTTGTGCTAGTCATTGGGGATAAAGTAGACACAAGCCCACTTTCAGTAACTCATAATTAGGTCAAAGAGGCAGGTAGGCAGCTGATTATAAAGGGCCTTCAATCCATGTCAAGAAGTTCAGCCTTTACCTGGAGGGGTTTTAAAGCAAGAGCTAGGAAGATAGCATTCCTTCCACAGCGCTTACAGAATGCTCACAATATGGCAGGTCCTGACCTAAGTGCTGGGAACTCAGGGAGAAGGAATGTGTTTTAGAATTTTTCCTTTGGTTACAGTGTGCAAGACGACCTGGGTGGGGCAAGGTATGGAGAGCAGAGAGGGGCCTGCTGCATAGTTCGGATGAGAGATGATGACACGAGGGTAAGGGATGTGAAGAGATGGGGATGGACTGAGAACTGTCAGGAGCGGGCACTGGCAGGACTTGGTAACTGAGTGGATGTGAGAGGGACGGAGGAGTTTAGGCGGATGCTCAGATTTGGGTTTGAGTGGATGGAGATGGTGTTGCTGAGAAGCAAGTTTGGGGCAGATGAAGAGTCAGTGCTCAGCTGGCACGTGAGCCCCTCGGGTAGCCTGTGCCAGAAGAAGTGTTTGCAGAGCAACCCTCCCCAGGAAGCGTGGTCACAGTGATGCCCCACTGGGCCCTGGATGAACACTCCTGTCTGAGCTCCGTGGGAGGAATGTCCCTCCAGGGCTTGAGTTTCCCAGGACATGGCCTGGGAGGTGACTTGGACCTGCTTGGAGCCTGGAAGGGCCCCAGAATCCAATTGCAGGGTAGCCTGCCATGAAGATACTCTAGAAAAGGAAGCCCTCAGGCCAGAAAAAGGAATGCCCCATTTACAGCCCACCCCAGGCCCACCCCAGGCCAGTGTGGCTTCTAATCTTTACTGCTGAGAGCACCATAAACAACAGAAGTTGGTCTGTCCCATGTCCCCTCCTTTGCTGCCTGGCTTCCAGTTAGTTACAAGATATCTCTGGGCCTCAGATTCCTCCCACAGGCCTTGAGGAAGATCAAGGAGCAATGGGGGTGGCTACATCCTCCCCTACCTACCACCCTCAGAGGATGAGAAATCCTGTATTCCCTCAGGAGAAGCCATGGAGGGGATGTAGGCCACCTTCAGAAGCCTGGAATTGTGAGGTTCAAAACAGTTGCACTGGGGCAAGAGTCAAGGACACTTCTGGAACACCATGGGCAGAAGGAGGTAGGCTCCTAACCCAGCTGCCCCCTCCTCAAGTCCAAAGTACATTGAAGACTCAGGGTATAGTCAAGGAAGCTAGAGAACCCAGAGGTGGACGTGTCTGATGGGGGAGGCGGAGCCTCTTCCGCTGTCTCCTGTAGAATGTGTCTGAGTGTCTGCATCAGGTGCAGGGTGTGGGTGGGAGCGTGTCAATGTATGAGAGTGCAAGTCTGTCAGAGAGCACTGTCTCTGTGTGTCATAGTGTCTGTGTGGCTCTCACCTTCTGCCCCTGTTCTCCTCCCTCCCACAATTCTGTGTCTCCTGGGGCCATACCTGTTCTTGGCCCCCATTTGGCCCCAGGCCCACCAAGGACTATGTCTTCACCTCCTTTCTCCTTATTCCCTCTATTGCTTTTAGATTGGTAGGCCAAAACTGGCAGTGCCCTTTAAGATCATCCCCTTATGTTAGTGAAAACCCAAAGAGAGGAGAAAACCAGCTTGAGTTACACAGCAGGTCAGTGGAAGAGCTCAGATGAGCACCTAAGCTGAATCCATGCTAACTGCCTGAACCACTCCCTCCAAATCATGGCTACTCTTATCCAATGCAAGCCTTCTCCACTCCTACCTGCCTTTTGGAAAAAACCATAGCTCTGATCTCCCTCTTAGCCTCAGTGGGACCATCTTACTGAGCTCCAGGTCACAGTAGCTGACACCCTTTGGAGTAGCCCACCAGCACCTCTAACCCAGTACATCTACAACCAGACTCATCTTCAACCTGTGGCTGTCCTCTCTCCATCACTCCTTCCTTCCCTTGTCCCAAGGGGGAATGCCATCTTAGTTACCTTTAGTTTTCCCTTCTCCTTTTCCCCTAGGTCCAACATGCCACCAAGTCCTATTGTTCCTTCTTTTTTTAAAAAAAAAAATGTTTTTATTGATTTCAGACAGCAAGGGAGAGGGAGAAAGAGATAGAAACATCAATGATAAGAGAGAATCACCGATTGGCTGCCTCCTTCACAGCCCTCACTGGGGATCGAGACCACAACCTGGGCATGTGCCCTGACTGGGAATCGAACCAGAACCTCCTGGTTCATAGGTTGACACTCAACCACTGAGCCACCCTGGTTGGGCTATTGTTCCTTCCTTTGAAGTGCTCCTGGAAACTTCACTATGTCCTTTCTCTCCCCTCAGTCAGGGCCAGGGGCACAGCCAAGGGGGCTGACAGCCAGCAGGGGCACTGCTTGGCAAGCCATGCCTGTGGGCTCAACAGCCTCAGAGGAAGTGCTTTTCTTCTGATTCCTCTCCTCCAAGGGAATGTCTTTTCTGGTTTTGCCCAGAAGTGCAATATAGGCTAGAGGGGGTCATGCCCACGTGTCCCCTCAAATCCAGAATCCTCTAGAACCTGGTGCCAAGGTGCCCACCTGTCTAGCCTCACCTCCAACTCCTTCCCTCACAACTATATACTCCTTTCAAACCTGGTTTCTTACAACCCTCTCCATCACCTTCCTTCCCTTGTCCCGGGGCGGGCGGGGAGGGGGGGGGCGGGATGCCATCTTAGTTACCTTTAGTTTTCCCTTCTCTTTTCCCCCTAGGTCCAACATGCCACCCAGTCCTATTGTTCCTTCTTTTTTTAAAAAAAAATGTTTTTTATTGATTTAAGACAGGAAGGGAGAAGGAGAAAGAGACAGAAACATCAGTGATGAGAGAGAATCACTGATTGGCTGCCTCCTTCACAGCCCTCACTGGGGATCGAGACCACAACCTGGGCATGTGCCCTGACTGGGAATCGAACCAGAACCTCCTGGTTCATAGGTTGACACTCAACCACTGAGCCACCCTGGTTGAGCTATTGTTCCTTCCTTTGAAGTGCTCCTGGAAACTTCACTATGTCCTTTCTCTCCCCTCAGTCAGGACCAGGGGCACAGCCAAGGGGGCTGAAAGCCAGCTGGGGCACTGCTTGGCAAGCCATGCCTGTGGGCTCAACGGCCCCAGAGGAAGTGCCTTTCTTCTGATTCCTCTCCTCCAAGGGAATGTCTTTTCTGGTTTTGCCCAGAAGTGCAATATAGGCTAGAGGGGGTCATGCCCACGTGTCCCCTCAAATCCAGAATCCTCTAGAACCTGGTGCCAAGGTGCCCACCTGTCTAGCCTCACCTCCAACTCCTTCCCTCACAACTATATACTCCTTTCAAACCTGGTTTCTTACAACCAGAACCTACCTCACCTATGGCTTAGCTGTTTTCCTCTCCGCTAATATCCTTCTCTCCTGGACTCACGCAGCTATAAGCAGTCTGTCGGCCTGGCTGCAGCCCACTTCCTTATGATCGGCCTCTCCCCACCCGGACAGTGGACAATCAGGAGCATGAGGGCAGCATGAGGGCATGAGTAGACCCTGTGAGGCTGGGGAGTTGAGCCCCACGAGTATGTAGACCTCAGAGCTCTCTGACCCTCACCTGGTGCTCTAGAACTCTAGGATGGAACCTGATTTAGGAGAGGCCTTTGCATTAAACCCTTGCCTGAGCCTTTTTGCTCAATGGCAAAGAGCTTATGCCCTCCCAGTCCACTTTGGAGAAGCTCCGAGAGTGAGAGAAGCGCTTTTCCCTTTGCTCCCAAGTTTGCCCTCTTGTAGCTGCCCCACACGGAATTCTCGCTCTGTCCCTCTGTGGCTGCACCTAACCACCCTGCGGACCTAGGGGTGGTGCCTGGAGCCCAGCGATGTTCAGTGAGTGCTCCTTGGTGGATTACATGAGACGGGCAGAACCCACTTCTTCCTCCGAAGAACGGCCTCAGGCTATTTTATCTGTGTTCTGCCATTGCACCAACTTCAGAGGCGATGGAAGCCAGACCTGATGATAGGAAGGGTTCACCCAAGGTAAAGGAGAGCCCATCAGCAGCAAGGCGGAGGCCAGAATGCACTGGGGCTCGTTCTGTTGGTGCTGTAGCCCGGCTGAGTGCGCAGGCCCCTCTGCCTACCTCTTGCGGGCTGCCCTCCAGCTGCGAAGGAGCTGGCGCAGGGCCATACACCGAGCTGCTGCTCTCTGTGCCCAGAGGCTTCTTCCAGAGGGCAGAGCTCAGGGCTGTGGGCTTCAGATGGGAAGGTGGCAGTAGGGTGGGCGGGACTGAGGGATGCAATAATCCCACACCCTCGCCCAGCTTCAGAGAAACTGGTGCTGAGGCGGTTGCCATGGTGACAACAGCTCCCTGGTCAGGAGATTTTTCTCTCTTCCCTCTCCTTCATTTGCTCTTCTTCAAGCAGCAGCCATAGAAGCTGCAGCTTCTCTCTCTCCTTGTTCATGAGAGGCAGGGGATGATAAACAAAGGACAGGCCCTGCTGACCACCTCTACCTTGGAGCTGTCCATGCATGTAGGCTGCTGGTCTAGGAGGGACTCCTAACAGCAGAAAAGGGGCCCGGGCCTGGTGAGGGGGTCGCCTTGACCTAGGCCTTGGTAAGAAGCAATGTCCCTTCACTGAGGACTAACCCTTCCCCCCCAGGCCTCCTCTCTAAAACACCTCCATAGTTCAGGGATAGAGAGAAAGGGTCCTGTTTTCTCCTAATCAGCCATCGAACCAGGTGTGTCACTGTTGGGTGGCCATTCAAGACCATCTCATTCAGTCCACCCTGGGTCCTGACCCCTTCCCCATTTCACAACGGATCGGAGAGGGAAGTGACTTGGCCAAAGTCAGACAGCACTGAGGCAGAGACAAGATCTGAACCAGCTCTTCTGCCCTCCAGGCTCAGGTCACCTTAGGGAAAGGAGCCACACGGTCGGTCCGCATGGAGCTTTGGCACAGTCCCTGCAGAGCAGCAGGAAGATAGGCACTCAGAGGGAGTGACTGGTGCAAGGAGGCCAGAGCGGGTACAGATTAGAAAGATATTTGACAGGAAGAATGAGGGGACTTGGTGCTTTGCTGTAAGGGGTGAGGGGGATGGAGGAGGCTGGGACCTTGGTTGCAGTGACTGACAGGTAGGTAGGGGTGGTCTCCTGGGGATTGGAGTCCCTGGTTCATCCTCCAACCAGGATGAAAAGACCACACATGGGGCCTCCGCCTAGCACTGAACCTTGGTGAGGAGGCACTGTTGAAAGTGTTGTGAAGAGAAAGGGGGAGGGAGGCTGGGGTTTTTTGGAGGGGGGCTGAGCGGCTGGTGGGGCTGGGTGTTAGGGGTCCAGGTTATCTATGGAGGTGGGAGGTTGCCATGGGACTGGGTGGACTACCTATCTCCAAAGGAGAGAGGTTGACTGGTGCCTCCTCTGGTACCAACAACACTGCACCCCCAGGTGTGTGTGTGTGTTGGGGGCCAGAGCAGTGGTTGTTTTCACCTGAACTGGGGATAAGGAAGCAGCTCTGCCTCCTTTCCTGGGACCCATGGGGCCTGGACGTGGGTGGGGGTCCCCCCTCCAGATGCTGCCGCCTGTGGCAGAACCTGCGGCCAGGGAAATGAATCAGGGGGGGCAGCAAGCGAGATTGGGAAGGGAGAGCGGAGGGGGAGGGGACAAGGGCCTCCGCCCAGCCCCGCCCGCGTTACCTGAGGCCGCTCGCCGGGTCGCCGGATGGCTCCGAGCCTCAGCTGGACTCGGGGATGGTGACTGGCTCGTGGGGGGGGGGCCCGGGTCCCCCGGGGCCGC